GGGTGGGGGGGGGGGGTATCGAAGAGACAACGGGAGAGAAGCGAATAAATAATTAATTAATTAATTGGCCGCTCCGGCATGTTTGCTCAACTAGTAATAATTATATTTTGCGCTGGGACGAGTGCGTGGCGGCGGCCGCAAGTCCGCTCCTCTTCTCACTCAGCCGTAAATTATCAGTTATATCCTTTCGATATAATTTCCACTTAAGCTCCATCATTTTCTTTCCTGTATTGAAAAGTTACATTGACTTTGAGAAGCTGGGCATGTCCGCGTTTCTTAGTCAAAGTCAGGGTACGACGGCTCTCGGAGGAGCGGGGCCGCGCGCCGGTTGGTCTTTTCAAAGGACGACGGACGTGCGCGACGGAATTGAATAAATGTCGAATGAGCGGCGGGTGCGAGAGCGAGAAACGAACGTGGCTCCGACGTCGATAAAAGTAGGTTCGGGTTGGTGGGGTGGAAGAGGGGGGATGCAGCGTACGGCAGAGCACCTTGGGTAATAAATGACTGGGCAAGTGGTTAAATGTATAGGAGGCCGTAACCGGGAACCCGATTGACTTCCCGTGTCATTTCTAAGCTTTCGCAACGGCAAGAGAAAGAAAGAAACTGGGAATCGAACCGCCCATACACCATTTAAACTCATTGAAACTTATCGGAAAGGCTCCCGCTCTACAATAATAATAATAATAATAAACTCCCATTTCCGAGCGATTATTTTCAATAATATTGGCTGGAAATGTTCGATATGCGCTCAACGCTCGTGCCGCTTTTTTCAATTCTCCCCCACAGTTCTGACTCTCTCTCTCTCTCTCTATCTCTCTCTCTCATTCATTCATTCTCTCTCTCTTTCTCTCACTGCCTCTTCCTCTCGACGCCCGTCCTTTTTCAAATTTTCCAACTCCCACCTACCGCCATAATCAACCATTTCCCACCTCGTTCTCGCACCAACATCCTCGGCAGCAGTTCCTTCCCTCGCCCCTCGATCATAACTCGCCTACCGCAGTGGCAATGCGGCTGTCCGGTCGGTGGGTGACTCGATACGAGCGAGCGCTCTGATAAAGCCGGAATAAATAAATATACATAAGCGATATTTGCGCGGTCAGTCCCTCCTTGGCGTACCAAGGCACGTAGGTTCCCGGCCGTGAAAGAACGGAGGCCGCGGCTATGTTCGTCGTGCCGCGGTTGCTGATCGCGCGGAGCTGATAAGGGCGGCCGAGCAGTCTGACCAGACTCGTTTGTCGCTCTCGTTTTGGAAAACAATAGTGCCAGACGATGAGAGAGGTCCTCCCTCGGTCTTCACCCCATAGGTCGCTCCTAGCAGTCCCGTACCCGGGTGGTGCTTACTTCTCTCACCTTTTTCGCGAGCTCTGCGTTAAGACGGTGGTGGTTGAGGGGGAGGGTGGTGCGTCGGGTTTTGGACTTGCGATTGTCCCGCGGGTGGGAAATGGAAATTGAAGTGGGGGAGGGGGGAGGGGGTTTCCGCTTATTTACAATGGTTTGGTGTACGTTGCCGATGCTCAGCTGGATTACATCTTTAGCCGATCCTTTGTGACTTCCGTTACGAAGGGGCGAGGAGAGGAGATCTCTGCTTTATTAAGGATGTGCCAAGCCAATATTATAGGCCAAGATAATAATTAATATACGAATTACGATAAACTAGATTTCACGATCATGAATATGGGACTTTACCTATCCGACTTTATAACAAGGTACTTCGTTCCTACCTTTACGACAGAGTCGCTTAAGTCTCTTTCCTCATCAATTTTCCTGCAATTAATTGTACGCTATCTCAGCGATAAGTCGACGATCGGCTTCAATTATTTATTTTAGGTATATTAATAAATTTCATCCTGTTCGAAGCATGTCTTCTTAGCATATATATATATATATATATATATATGCGCACTCGCACGTACGTGCAAATGTATGATTCCGCGTTGAGCGATCTTAACGATTTCCAGTCGTTTGTTGCTTGAGCCGAACGATCACTTTTATATATCCAAAAGATTTAAACGCCCCCCCCCACTCCGGTCTCTCTCTCTCTCTCTCTCTCTCTCTCTCTCTCTCTCTTTACGTATGCATCTCGAGCCCGTACATTCTCGATATTAATACTATGCTAATAAATTACATTTTGTTACCATTCCCTTTGCCTTTTAATGATTTTATCCAGATTAATTAATTATTATTAGCCTAAAGTTGTTCTTCCTCCGCCACGGAAATGAAATGTAAATTAAAAGTTACGAGCGGGGCGGTAAATAGTGTACGGCATGGAGGGAAATTACGGTTAATGAGTCGCGGGAGTCGGGGAACCGCGTATACAGCGACGTTGAGAAAATGCCTAAAGCGAGAACAAAAAACGACGAGGGGGGGGGGGTGAAGGTAACGGACTCCTTGGGGTCCTTTAGGAGCGATGGCCTGGTACTTTTGTCGAGACGAGGGCAAGGATGAATAATGGGTAGGAAGGATAAGACGAGTGGCCGGCTCGCTGGGTAGGAGAAGGTGGTCCGTCGCGGTGGGTCCATGATCGGGTAAATAAGCCAAGGGAGGTGGGGTGGGATGGGGATTCATAACAAAATTGCCCCCAAAATACGCACTGTTTTTCTTCTTCTGGGTGATGGAGGTCTTGGGTGGCTGGGAGGCCGGTGGACCCGGGTACATCGGCGGCTGAGGCTGCTGGTGCGGATAGTTGGGGAACATCGGCTGCTGGGGCACGTGCGAGAGGCCGGGCGATGTGCCCTGATCCGTCGGCTGGTGCTGTCCGTGGTCGTGACCGTGATGGACGTTGCCCGGGTAGAAGCGATCGCCTCCCTTGTAGATCGAGGGGGGCAGTGCCGGGGATATGGCACCGCCGTTGTTCCCATTTAGTATCGCCGTGTTGCCCGAGCTGCCGCTGCCGCCGGCGCTTCCTCCACCGCCACTGCCGCCGCCACCACCACCACCGCCGATGCCACTGCCACTGCCGCCAATACCACTGCCTCCGTTGACGCCACCGCCACCGACGCCGATACCGAGACCGCCACCACCACCGCCGACGCCGACGCCAATACCACCGCCGCTGCTGCTCATCGTACTGCTGCTCGTCACCCCGACTGCTGTGAATGCAAGGAAAGTGAATTATTATCAAAACTCTGCTATCCGGTGGCTTTTAGGAGATTAATCGGTTAATCGGCCGATCGATTAATCGACTAATCCTTGGATCGGCAGTATCGAGAGAGCCTTTAATTAAGCCTACGATACTATTTAATTGGCTGAAAATTCGGAGTAAAGAGGAAGTTTGATGGGATGTTGGTTGGCGAAGGGAGAGATAAGAGAGGCGTTGTTAATCGTAGATCGTAGACTAGGCAACATTATTGTTAATAATGGTATTATTGATGGGCAAGGACGTAACGATAAAGAGATCAAATGATTATGATAATTTAGGCGACGGATTAACATACGAAAAGGGACGGTGTAAGGTTCTATCTTTTTCTTAGCTAACGGACTTTTTGGACGACTGCGTGGTGGCTACCACCCACCACCAGCGCACGCCAAGTGCAAAACAAAAAGATAAAGTGCCGTGTTAATCGCATAGGTGCTTGATGAAAATCAACGGTTTCGGCGAACAAGAGCGAAAGGAGCGGATGATTTCGTCAAACGAAAAGTACGCATTCGCGCGAAGCGAACGAGCCTTTCGGTTTCTTGTTAGAGATAATAGAAGAAGGCGGCGGCTCGAATCGAATTGGGTTGCGTTCGTGCCGAGTCACGCCGAGGGGCAAGGAAGAAAAGAGAGAGGAAAAAGAAAAAAGATAAGAAAAGATACGAGAAGGAATGAAGTGAAAAAATGAATTTAGTCGATGGAAGGAAAAGAAGACGCAGGTGTGTAGTGCGCATAAGATAGCGGTGAAGAGTGAGGGGGCGGAGGGATTGTAAGGTGCGATGGGATTGGGCGGGACGGAAGGGAGAGAAGCCGAGATAAAGACGGAGATACGCGTGGAGAGATGTTATTTTTCTTCTACTTCTTCTTCTTCTTCTTTTTTTTTTTTTTTTTTTTGAAAATAGGTCGTGCACTGTATAGATTACAATTACAACGCACATTGAGAAAGTATACTACTACTACTACTTGATTATTTGATTGATGAAATGTGGTATGGAGTGAATTCTTTTTTTTTTTTCGACCTTCTCATCTTGTTTATTGTTAATTAATATATGAGCTGTCTTTTTTTTTCGACAATTTTTTTCTTCTTCTTCTTCTTTCGGATGAGCGTCAAATTTTATATACCAAAGTACAAAGAATAGTACTTTTTTGGAGCGAAACGAGAATTGAACAGTCACGAAAGGGCATAACGTAATATTCATTGTACCGGCCGAGAACAAAAGAATGAGAAATTCATAGTATTGTGATAGCGAAGCTTAACCGTTTCGCTCCGTCATATTACAGTACTCGATCCCTTTTTAATAATTAATGCCGTATTGACAGATGGCATTTTTGCCTCGGCTTTATGAAAATGTAGAAAGAAAGAAAAGTAAAAAAAACTGAAAAACAAAAAAAAAACAAAAAAAAAAAGCAAAAAAAAAATAAAAGGATGAAAAAATGATGAAAAAGAATGAAACGAAAAAGAGGAAAAACAAAATGAAGCAAAAAATGTTATAGCCGTAGAAAACAATTATACTTGGCGATTGTAATGTACATTTAATTAGCATAAAGGATTGATTTTCACGCGTCCAATTAAATCTGAAATGCATTTAAAATTAAAGGGAGCATTTACTAGCTCGAGAAGATCAAGTTAATTTTCGTTGGTAATGCATTCGAGGAGCAAACGATACGTTACTGAAAATTAAAACGTAAAATGCAAATTCAGCTCGTGTCGTTGGTTGGCGATATCTTGAAAGGTTTGGCGTGTAAGTGTCTTGTGCGTCGGGCATTTAAATGAAAAGGACAAGTATTACAAAATGAATTTGGAAAATTTATGAAAATCAATAGGACAAGCCACGCATGTCGACTGACTGCATGGGACATACGAGGG